GCCTGTAGCTGGAGTTTGGAGGTAGAGCAGAGCTGCTGTTTGATGGGATCAAGAAACACCAAGTGACCTTGCCTAGCAAGTCAGATCATTACACCGCTGGAGTATCATAGCAGCTGGATGGTCGTGCATGAAAGCATAAGAATCTCTCTGTTATTGTTGTGCTGTTTGCTGCTTATATCAGGGAGCATAGGATGTGGTGAGTGTGACATTAGCACTGAGCACATGGGGTGGAGGATCCTAAACTATGGCGGTAGTCTTTTCCTGGACATTAGAGGACTAAATTCTATATAACATCCTACACCTTTTCTCTGGGACTTTCTTTATTTAATTTAGCATCACAGCTACTATGGTCCTATCAGTTCTGTAATGTGATTCATGTACACACATGGATTTGAAGCTGTTTTAATATAGCAGGTACTGCACATTGATGTTGAAATCACAAAATTGGTCCTCCTTTGATTTGCCCTGTTTTAATCTGCCTTGCTTGGCATACATTTGTCATATCATTGTTGCTTTTTTTCTTGTGCTCTGATCAACCAGGCCTGATTGCAAAATAAAAGATAGGATAAAGAAGAACACAAAAATAAAGGACAGGGAGGGAATTGTTGCTGTGTGTGTCTCTATCTATATAAAAAAGATGTATCTGTAGCAATTGTGCATACAGAGATGGACGCAGTCATCCATCTTGCTAAGGATCCTCCATCTTGTATCATTTCTACTCCCAAATCAGCTTCCCTCCAATATCCCCCCTCCCTCAGGAATGTGGTCTGTATGATGCCAGAGATCACAGGTACAGTGGGAGAGCTCCAGGTTTATAAATGCCAAACAGCTAGTGCCCGGGTGTCTGTCTCAATCTGAGATATCATAAAACCAAAAACCAGTCCTTCACTGAGCTTCAAAGACATTCCAGCTAGCTGTAAAACAGACTCACATTTAAAAATCCCCTTTTCCATATAATTTTATATCTGGAGATATGGAAGACTTACAAAGAAACTAGGCATATATTCAGATCGGTCACTTTAATACAAGATGGCTGATATATTACACCCCCTAGATGAAATCTACAGGAGAGCAGATTATAATATCTCCTTAACCGTCCCAAGCAGGTATGTCATATTTAAAATCTAGACGTTCAGCAGATGCTTCTGCATATTAATCCACTAGTGGCAAGGCTGCTACATTCACCGAGGGTAAGTTATGGATCATGATATAAACTGGGAGGGATTTTGGTTCTAGCTTGGATCTCCGCCTGCAACACCCTCCCCAAATGAGGCGATTGGTTCTCTGCTGTAAGGAGACACCCCACTGAGTTCCTAGAAAAGGCTGTAATGCTTGGAGCAGAAAGTTAAGTTGAGTAGGTCAAGTTGAAGTTGAAGAATTCTCCCTTTTAACATCGGAACCAACTTTGGGAGATAAGGCATCCTTTTGCTCTGAAACTTGAAAGCTGCTTAACCCAGGACTTTTGGCAAGTACTTTACCTCTCTAAATTCCTTTCTGTTATCTCTTTGCTGTGTTATTGCTCTCTGTATTTATATATATATATTGGCTACATCTTTTTCTGTAAATATTGTTATTGCACCCTTTTGACCTTTGTAGTAATAAATCCTAATATCTGAAAAGTGTTGAACTGTTTCTAAAGCTATTTAATGCAAACTAAGAATCCCTGTCTCTGGAGAGCGCTACTGTATGTTTTGAACATCTGCATACATCTGCCTGCGGTGACATTGTGTATACAAACGATTATTCAAACATCATAGTGTTATTGCTGATATTGCTGAGTTTCCTCTTTCTCTGTACAAAAAGGAGGTGGTGGCAGTGTGAAGGGTTAATTGCATAATTAACCTGACCCAGTAACAATTGCTCCCAGACTGCAGGTACACAGATTGTGGTCCATTAGCTGGAAAATCTTTGTGCAAGGTGCAGCTGGGCATGGCATTGTTACTCACGTGACAGCGCGGTTTTAGATTGGCTAGTCCTTCGGTCACCAGTTTGGTGAGAAGGGCTGGGGTCTGGCACCGCGATCGTCACAGTATCTGTTTATCTCCAAGAACTTTTTTCAGAGAGGTAGCAATCCTTTAATGGCAGGTAGGTTACTTAAAGTGTATCTCTGATCAAAATGTAAACTCATATTTTCATTTACACTCTGAATTTCAATTATTCTAGTATATTCCTATTAAAGCGGTAGTAAACTGCATGAAAAAAAATGAAAAAAAACCCTGCAAGTTACAGGCATAGTGTGCTAGTATGCATTTCATACTAGTACATTATGAAGTGTTTACCTTGAAACAAAGCCCTCCAGCAGAGCACTGTCACAGCTCCCTGGAGATTCCATCTTCACCAGGTCTTCCTTCCAGGTTTCCGAGCTCTGGCCAGCTGACTGGCCAAGCCGCGATGATATCACTCCCGTGCATGCACACAGGAATCCCGGGACATGGCACAGTGATCTGAAAGAACAGCATGGGTATGCCATTCCTTCAGAACACAACACTGAATATCAAAAAGAGCTAATATCTCCTAAACGGTTCATGTTTAGGAGATATTGATTTTACCTACAGGGACACTTTATTATAAGCATACTTGTAGGTAAAGTTATTAAAGAAGAGTTTACTACCACTTTAATCTAAATGATCTTAAAGTTTGTAAACGTACAGTATGTTGTGAAGAATCCCACAATTTACTTCCTTGAGTTTTGTGACACATACTAACTCTGCCCTGTAAGTAGTCACTGTTGTGTCACACAGTTTGCAGACCCGGCCTTCTGAACTACAGAGGTGCTGAGAGGAGGAGTTTCAGGAGACACATTCAGTGCAGGAATCACTGCTTGAAAGCAGTAAGGTACCATGGGATTATGTAGTCCTTAGAAGTTGAAAGTAAACAACAGAGGAGAAGCTTCAGTCAGAAAAAGTGGCTCTCAACATCTGTGGTACTTGCAATATCAAATGAGAACTCAAAGCTGCAAATGAAGTGATTCTTTCATGGTCCTGGAAAGGGCATTACAGAATTAACACATTCAATCAAAGGGTCCGAGGGGTGTATGTCTCTCTTAAGAGGTCTAATGTACCTTATTATCCCTTTGAACCTTTTGCTATAGTTGTATTGTATGTCTAACAGATTGGTAACTTCTTACACATTAGTGTGACCACTTTTTAGGAGAGTAACTCCATCACAGCAGGAATTATGGATTCTCTATAAAGTTTGCCTATGGTAGTAATAAACACAACAGGTTTGGGATGTGTATTGCTTAGTTGTTATGCCAAATTTACAATGGCTTTTTATGGAAGCACCCTCATTAAGAGTTATTTACAGAACCTACTATTGGAGGTTTATGGCCTGTTACCTTTCTTCTTAGCTGGCCTGTGCTCTGCCAATGTGCTTTAAGCTGGACTGTGGTTTATTGAATGTTTCACCCTCTTTGAACTGTCCACCACAGACATGAAATTAATATCTGGCCATTTTTGTTATGGACTTACAAATTTTGGAGCTATGAATGTGTCATTGTGTTCAGTACTAGTTCCCCATTACCACCACTCTGCAGTTCATCAGACCTCACTATTTCATGATGACAAACATTGTGAAAACTAGATTTAGGTATACATACACTTTAAAGTCCCATTTCCGGCTGCTGTAAAATTTACCCATTTAGTGAGGTACCCTTCCTGTACTGCATGGGTTCAATGTTTGTCTAAGGGTGAAATAAATAAGTACAACTATTTACCTAATTTTCTGCTCCTTCAGAATTCCTTCCTTCCGCAACTGATCACCCAAAGCTGCTTCATGCTGTTGCCTAGCTGGTAGCAGCTTTCTGACGTCTTCACGTACAATGCAAGACCAAGAGTCCTACGTTGTATGTGAGGATGGAGATAGCTCAACCACAACCAATAAGTGTCAGATGGCTATCAGGAAAGCAAGGAATAATGTATTTGTGCCTTTTCCTTCCCCCTAGCTAACAAGCATTTAGCTCATGCAGTATGGGGGAGACCCCACTGCATGGGTAAAGATAATAGTAGTGCACATTGGGGCTTTAGGTTTCTCCCCACAATTTGTACTGCTGAACTTGGACTCCAGTCAAACAAAATTATCCTATAACAATGCTCTGATCATTTTCACTGCAGCAACCATAAAATTAGCACCATGAATAAGCCAGGACTATCCATGATCTCATAGTAAACAACCAAAATAAATATTTTGCAACAAACACTAAGCCGTGGTTCACACTGAATGTGGCTTTGAAATTGTGTTACTTCACTTAAAGTAGGGCGATTTAATGTGCGACTTACCTGACATCTGTGCTATTTCATGCACCGATGTCTATGCAAGTCACACATGAAATCACCAAAAATAGTGCAGGGACCTTTTTTCAAAAGTTGCAAAGTCGAAGTTGCACCATTTTGAATGGTTCCACAAACAGGGTGCAACTTGTCATACGATTTTCAACTGTCAAATCGAATTGGTGTGGACGGAAGCTAATAGAAGAAACTAAGCGGCCAAAATAAAAAATATCAATTTCACAATACCTGTTCACACTGGTCCCTATTTAAAGTATTCAATATCTACAACAACCTAACAGTAAACCCTAAATAGACCATAAATATTTTCTTTTTCTCACTTGATTCTGCAGTTTTAGTTTATATGATCATATCGAATTTGCTCTTTCCTCTCTTTCCTTTTGTTTAATATTCTAAAGCTGACACCCTACCATGCCAAAATTTAGTAATAGGTATTAATGTTATTTCTGATGTTTTGTACTTCAGTTTTTGATAGTAGTATGTGTAATCACTACATTTTGATTATGTGCTGAAATTGATAGGACATTACTATCACAGAAGGTGATAATTTTCAAACTTTTTCAACTATTTTAAAATCAATAAACTAATACATCTTTCAGTGTTGACTTTAGTTTATAAATAGTTATAGGAATAGGTTATAAATAGTTTATAAATAAATATAGCATTAGTATGCAGAAGACAATAAAATAGCAGGTAAAGTTTGCTACTGCTTACCGTTGTCTGTAAAAACCGGATGACTCCATGCACCCCAGTATTTGCTTTTGGCACAATAGATTTTCTTTGCCCTAATTTGCATACTGTAACTTTTGTCTTTTTTCCAGATAAGAAAATACATATTCTTGGCTTTTAATATCAAAAATATCCTGAAATTTGAAAATAAATATTATAATTATGTAACGTTGTATGAAGATTCATGGTGTTGTTCTGCTATTAATACTATTTGTTTATATTTATTTAAAGTGGTTCTAAAGGCTCAAGGTTTTTTACCTTCATGCATTCTATGTATGAAGGTAAAAAAACCTTCTGTGTGAAGCGCCCCCCCCCTGCCCCCCTCCCCCAATTGTTACCTCAGCCACTTCTGATCCAGCGATGTACACAATAGCCTCAGTTGTATGGGGACTCCCCCTCCTCATTGGCTGAGTTGGCTGTGATTGACGGCAGCAGGAGTCATTGGGCTCCCACTGCTGTCAATCACAGCGGGGGCCAATCCTCTGCTCTATGTGTCTTATAGACACATAGAACAGCAGCTATGTGCACAATAGCCTCGGCTGTATGGGGACTCTCCTTCCTCATTGGCTGAGAGGGATGTGATTGACAGCAGCAGGAGCCAATGGACTCCCTCTGATGTCAATCACAGCCAGTAAGCCAATGAGGAGAGAGCAGAGGACGAGTCGCAGCTCTATGTGTCTTATGAGTCTTATGAATGCATACATCAGCGAACATGCAGCAGTGCCCCCAGGACAAGCAGCTTTCTCTGGGGGCACTGAATGAGGGGGAGGAGCAGATTGCCGGTGGGGGAACCGAAAAGAAGAGGATCGGGGCAGCTGTATGCAAAACTGCTGCACAGAGCAGGTAAGTATGACATGTTTGTCATTTAATTAAAAAAAAATGAAGATCTAGTATCACTTTAAGTAAATATAATGGGATAACTGTAGATGGCAAAACTGATAGTAATGGACAGTAAGCAGAAAGGTATTGCATGCTTCAGGAAATATAGTGACTTAAATTTACACCAACATTTCAACCAGAGGTAGACTGACAACTCATGGGGCCCCTGGGCAATAGGAGATCATGGCGCCTCCTGTGTCCCCCCTGCCCACATTCAATCCACACCAACACAAAGCCCCCCCCTTACATATTTCTGGAAGTTCCCGGTTTCTTTCCGTAGAAACTGATGGGCACTTCCAGTTTTAAGGATGGCCGCAGCTCAGCAGATATCTTTATGATGCAACCAGGGGTGTTTTATAAAAGCAGCAGGCCTGTGCCCAAGATCATAAGCTGGGCTCTAAGGCTAGAGAAAGAGGTATGGAAAATATTGGGTGTGGTTTCTGGGGGCTGTAGGTAGCACCTGCTGGTTACATAGTAAAGTAAAGATGCCCGAGGATTGAACAGTTGCCTTGTGCGACTGTTAGGTTTCAACTCAGCTCCTTCCTGAAAGGGTTGTCAACCCCCCCTACAACTTTTTTTTTTACACTGAGCAAACATGGAAAATCTGCTGCCGGAATGCATTTTTTACAAAGAACCTGAAATATGACAGAACTATTAGAAACTGAGAAGGAAAGAAGGGGTGGAAGGATCGAGGCAGAAGGGGGGAGGGGGGGGAGAGAGAAGGGGGAGCAGAGATAGAAATAGGATTGAGAGAGAGATGGGGAAATGGAAAAGTAGAAGAAATGCTTCTACTTTTACATCTCCCCATCTCTCTTTTGCTGGGGGGGGGGGGGGGGGCAGAAGGGGAATGTGAGAGAGGGAGGGGGAGGGGGGAGACAAGGAAGGAGAGATTGGAGATAGGAAGGTGAGATAGAGAGAAAGGGGGAGGAAATAGGGAGATAGTGGGGAGAGAGATGGGGGGTGAGGGAGAGAGAGAGAGGGTGAGAGAGGGGAGGGGAGGGGTGAGAGAGAAGAAGAGAGAGAGCGGGTGAGAGAGTTTATCTGCTATTCACAATTATGTCCCATCCCCCTATTATATGAAGTACAGGGCTTACCGCACCCACACAAACAAGTGCTCCCCCATTTTAATGAGTGCACACCACTTAGGACATATGTAGAGTCCCCCATTGTGGTACAATGCCCCCCCAAACACACACAGGGCCCCCACTACATAAAGTAATTACAGAGTCCCCCCCCCCCACACGCACACATAAACACCCACACACACAGGTCTCCTCTGTGGGGGACATGGTCAACTTCTGTGCGGGACATGGTCAACTGATCCAAAGAGACAAAAGGACATTGCGCAGTATTGTGACCTGGACTTCATGGGAGTCTGTAGTCACTTTTGCAGCAGTTGTTCTTTTTCTGGGTCACAATCCTGCAAAATGCCCTTTTTTCTCTTTTGGTCAGTCAACCACGCTTATGCGTATCAGTTAATGTTTTCTCAGTAACTGTATATTGCCATCATAATCTTTGATACTGTACCTCGTGACATGGTAAATAAATTGGCAACTTCAGTCACAGAGGCACCAGCTAAGCAGGCACCAACAATTTGCCCTCTGAAGCTCTGTAAACCTTGACATGACTCCGTATTACTAGCAGCGCACACAGTGAATAATGAAAGTGAGGCTTTCCCTGTTAGCTAGGTGTCTCATCACACAGCAGAAGCAAAAGAATGTTACATCACTTCCACTTTCAACATGAAAAATGTTGTCACTTTCACATCTGCAAATCATATAGTGTTTCCATTTTTTTTCTAACCCCGGTATATAGTGTGAGAGTCTAACTGAGGCCGTACAAATTAAATTGTTTGTGTAGATAGGCCCTTGCTTTACAAAATTGTTGGGAAAGAGATTGCACAATCAGATTGTACATGCGTGGTTAGATTAAAGTATAAAATAAACCCCCCTGCATAACAATCTAAACAAGTCCCAGATCCAGTTATTATGTGATGCATAAGACTCATAACATGAAAAAAAGAATTTCCTTATATAATCCTAAAAACTCTACATGAGAGCAGATTCCTCACATTGGTTGATTTATTTTCCACCCTGATCTCTCTCTGCTTTAGCAATTACAGATGATTCTCCTTTGAGATTTTAATACAGTTCTTAATTTCTACTTAGACCGCTTGGGGGATCAGTCAAATATGAATTTTCACTCTACCAAGGCTTTTCCCCATTGTGTCTGGGCTGGAGGGATTTCTGATCATGCCACCTTCACCTTTGAACTGACAAGTGGCAATATTCCAATTTCGGCTTTGGAGACTCAATTCTTCAGGGTTGATTAATGTGATTGCTATTAATTCATGATTAAAAGATAATTCACAATACTGGCTGAATACATTTAAAGCTACAGTTCAAGGCTCCTTTGTGGCCATTGTTGGTGTTCTCCAGCTAGACAATGAGGCCTTTGTGGTGCAGATAGGGTCTACCATGGTCCAGGCTGAGGCCCATTATATTTTGAATCCTTCTAAGTTAGCTTATGGGGACTAGCTATCTAAGAAATGAAACTATGAACTATTCTTTCTGACTTGTACATGGTAGAAATTATAATATTCCACTCAGAAATTGTTTGAATTTGGTAATAAGGCAGGAAAATTCCTAGCTTATTTTACTGGATCTTAATATATTCTGTCAATATATACTATACAAAGCCTTAGTTATTAGATTTAATAACTATATGGGAAAGCTGGTAGGATCCGAGCAAGCTGGATTCATCCTAACAGATCCCTCATCTAAATATTGTTAAAGACTGTTTACTAACCTACAATTTCAGACTTCACATGAGAAGGGATAGCATTTATTTCCCTTGATACACATAAGGCTTCTAACAGCGTTAAAGGGCCTTACCTTCTTAAAGTTCTACATATATTTGGCTTCAGCCCCAACTTTATTCAGTGGGTTGAAATACTATATACTGCCTCAAAAGTGAGAATTAGAATTAATACTTCTATCTATAATACATTCACAAGTTTTCATGGCACAAGACAGAGTTGTCCTCTCTTCCTTTATTATTAAGGGCCTTCAGGTGAATTAATTGCAATTGTGTTTCTTCATATGCTGATGACAACCTGATATATCTGGAGGGACCCAACTGATGACACCCTGATATATCTAGATCCAAGCAATCTCCTTCACGTATTGACTCTACTAAGGAAGTTTAAGGAATTAGAAGGTTTTAATTTATCACTCCTATCCCTTGACTTCAAGGAAATGGAGATCCATGATAAGGAAGGATGCTACCTGTTTAGACAACTAGAGATAGCGATGGGTGTGAGAGTCCTCACATAAAAAAAAAATCAAAATGGATAGAAAGGAAAGACCCTTAAACTGGAAAACATTGAAGGATAATAACACTTAATCATGACGGAGAAGGTAGCATGAGCAATACCACCCGCACAAAAGGATAGGTATGGTTGATCGTATATTGTAACCCGGATTGGGTATATGAACACTAGGGCTGGAGGGGGAGAGGAGCTATTTCTATACTTCTATTTATGTAGGAGGATAGAGAAGATCATTTCCTAAACTTTCCAGAGTTGAAGGTGCTGCAGCACTCAGATGTCCGGCAGAGGTTTGTTCAGAACCCTGACCTGTGCAAGGATCCTCCTTCCTAGGAACTGTCTGTTCTGCAAAAGAACAAGATTCATTTGCCAGGCAAGAGGTTTCCTTCCAGTTTGGGTGGAGAAGTAACCATCCCCCACTAGAGACCAGTGAAAAGCCTCTGCGATGCCCTGATCCAAAGAGTTTATTTTGGTTTCTTTCCCAGGTTCCAGAGTCTCTAACATAGAGGACAAGCTGAAAAGGACTGACAGATCACATGAAAAGGGTAGGCCATGATAAAAAGGAAATAAAAAGCAAACAAAGTGCATCACTACCCTATATGATACTCAATGTCATACATGAATGAATGGTGGACACCTCTTACATTAACATACATAAATATACCATCCAAGTACTCAAACAAAACTATGTAAAGGGCAAAATATATCATTGAATATAACTGCAATTATGAACAGTGGTGGAAACCCCTTAAAATTAAAACTTCACAAAATTCTTCAAAATGTGCAAACTATAACAAAATCCAAATAACATAAACAAGTATTATAAAAAAGGGATATAAAAAACAGTTTAACTGTAATTCTGAATGATGGTGGAAGCCCTTCAAATAAAAAAATCCACAAAAATTAGCAAAATATAACAAAGTCCAAATGATATGTTGAGATCTTGATGAATATAGTTTTTTTAATAATATGCAAGCCCATGTCTGTTTTATATGCGTTAATTGCAACACCACGTGAGCTCATCCACATCATAAGCTCCCCTCTATATTTGACCTATATGTGAATAGGTCTCAAAGTGCCTTCACCCACCGTGGATCTTATCCACTGGTTTGGCTCTCCTGAAATTCACCAACACTTTTCCACGGTTACACCTCCTGAATTAGCAATCTTCTACATCGAGCATTAGGCTCAAACGAGATTATAAAAGGCTATCATTGCACTTTTTCCATATTAAAAAGCTCAATATTTATTTAATGAACAAGGAATTCCTTCTCCTTGAGGAAATCATGTGACCAGTGATGAAACACATTAGGGCAAATTCCAACCTGTCTTTGTTCTGAACAAAAAGGTTGTTTGTTGTGTGTAGAGCAAATCTGAATAGGAGTAATATTTTCATTATTAACCAGCTGATGCAGTTGCAGTGTTCTAATAAGGAATGCTGCAGGGTCTGTATAACTTTAGAAGTAATCAACACTTTGGGAGTATCTCACCAAAATTTAAATTTTTGTTGCCAGAAATGCCCAAAATCTGATATGTATCATAATGCAGACTTCTTGGAAAATCAGTGGCTAAGGCCCAAAGCAGCTGGTGCTGATGAGGGTTTTCAGGCTATCAGAGGTGAACAAGTCACTGTAGGTAGGCAGTGGAGTGAGCCCAGAGGTTGGATGTTTCATGTAGTGCTTCAGAAGCAAAAACAGCAGCGGGCTGGTTCTTCCTATAGGCTGAACAGCAATAGAAAGAGTGCTTGCATGCAACGTTCCACCTTATTGATTACATAAGTCAGAATCAGTACCCCAGGTTTTCTGGCACTTTAAATTGCTTTTTTTGGCCAGCTTGGACCAAGAAAATTATTTGCATGCTAAAATGGACTGGCTGCTGCAAAGTCTACATTATATACCATACAGGGGCGGACTGACAACTCATGGGGCCCCCGGGCAATAGGGGATCATGGGGCCCCTGTGTCCTTGCCCAAACTCAAAAAAGCCTATGAAAAAGGTACCAGGGGCATCTCATGGGGTCCCCTACTGACCCCGGGCCCTTGGGCAGTGCCCGAGTTTCCAAATGGTCAGTTCGCCCCTGATACCATAGTATATTTTGCTATGTACAGTAAAAGTGTCTTCCAGCAGTGTTAAAAAACACTTATCCTCTGTGTAAGGACAGCCCGTTTTAGCTCACCTTCACTATTCAGGAGAACCCTTGTATTTCTTTTTCTTCAGTGAATACAAGGCTTCCTCTGACTGAGGTGGAGAGACAGGCAGATGGCATCATGATCTCCATCTCAACCAGAGGAATTCTTGCTTTTATTAAAACAAAATACAAGGCTTCTGCTGACTGATGGATATGCACTGCAACTGACTATCTGTATATTCAGCAGCAGAGGTGAAGTGTCACAGCGCTACGTAGTAAAAATTACTACAGTTAATAACAGACTAAGCAGCAGCCAGTCTGTTCAGGACAAAAAAATATTATATAATGTGTAGGGAAACCAGGAGTTCTTGTTTAACCCATACTACAGTGAAACTAGCAGTGACAGAATATATTAAAAAAAGTGGAACTGTAGCAGCTGAGCTAACTCCCAATGCTTCAGCCTGACAAACCTTACTCCCAAAATTAATCTTTAGAGACATAGTCAGACCAGAACCTGTGCCATGGCTATGGACTAGAAAAGCACTCTACAGTTAAATTATACAGTACTACAATGCAAAGCCCAGTGCCCAAAGGTCACATTCCAGGCTAGCCCTCTAAATCCTCCAGTTCAGTGAGGTCTGGGTATGGCCTCCAAAGCTGTTGCTGAGGATACTCAACTCTGAATAGCTGCTGTGAATAGACTAGCTCAAGCAGCAAACTGGAGTCTTAACTGAAGTCATCAAGAAAAAAAATATGTGCGGTGTACAGAGTATCATATTTGAAGGCAAGAGAGAAGAAAATATATAAATAAGAGTAATAGGGTTAGCAACATTAAAGTTGGACATTAATCAGCAAAGCTGCAGAAAAGGTTTCCATCCTTCTAGGACATTATCAAAAACATCTAGACATACAGTAAAGGGTAGAGGTGAAATTATACTGGGACTGTGTCATGTTTCACATGACTGTCATATGCCTTTAAGTGTTCTTTGTATTTTGTCCCTGCTCCTCTCTTTCCTTTGGTTTAGTTCATGCTGTATAGATAGCCCACCCTTTTCCCAGTAATGCATTTCATCTTCAAGCCTCATGTCTTATGGAAGCAGATCACATTATGATCTTTTGACTTATCTGATGTTCATTGTTGTAAGATTCTCTCAGTTTATGGAATAAACTTCACAAAATCTACAAGGTGTCGTCTGGATTGAGTCACTGCCTGTGTTATTCAACTAAGATTGGAGTTATCGCTATCTCATCACAACTGTAAGTTACAGAGATCACACTTTCACTGCTTAGATTGGAGACACAGAACAGACTCTCTTCCTAATTTTTTGCACCAGTGTCTCATCCTCCTGTAGGCAGCAGCATAACCCAATACTTCAATAATTCAAGAACTTCTGTGTCCTTCAAAGGTTGACAAGGAAAATATATTTACAGCATAAAGAACAATAACAAAGTGTAAGTTCAACAGTTAAAAAATTTTTCTTTATAATACCTACCTTGAATAGTTTTGTCTGAGTCTCTGTAACTCTAATATGATACTGGAAACACTCTGATGATACAGGGTTTATACTTGGTGGAGAAAGCCATTCAAGTTTCGTGTTCTCATTAACTGAGGTTACAGAAATATTGATTGGCGCATTTAACAATTCTGCAATTAAAACAGCATAAATGAATGTAACACTTCAATTATCTCATTCCAAGCTTTGTAAACAATTCTGTGCAGACACCGGCCTTTATTATAACTGCAGTTTTTGTGCATAGAGCACTGTTCATTCATGTAACATTACATTAATTCTCAGGAATGTATATTGTATTAAATTGTTTATTGTTTATTTGCTATTTCAAATACGTTGATAAAAGCCATTATCACTTACATGATGGACTGCTGCACATAACCTTGATTAGTTGTAACTGTTAGCTTGAGACTGAAAGTGAAAAGGGGGATGCCTGTTTCAAGGCCCCCTTCCCTCATTAGATTGTGTCAGTAGCAGGAGTTTCTTGGCTCCCATTACCTGCATATTTACCTGTTAGGGAAGACGTGTGGAAAAGGTCAAGTGACTTTTCTTGTAGGTTGAGGCAAGGTCAGGTGACATCTTAGAAAGTTCTAAAGGGGTTTTGTGTACCTAAATAAGGCTAAGGTGAGTTCTCAGATGTACTAAGTGTTAGAAGTACACCACCTGTGAGTTCTGGAGCTATAATACCATTCTCACAGGGGTGTTAATCCAGCAGCATGAAGACACTTCTGCAGCAGATCCTGCAGAAAGCCAGCGAAGAAGGAGAAGAAGATTGGCTGAAGAGGTGTCTGGGCCTCTTCAACAGTGGCTGTAGCCTCTGCTACAGCCACAACCATCACTGCTGCTCCCTCTGTCACCTCTGGTCTGCTGTTATTATGGAGAAAGCCAGCTTAGAAAAGGATGATTACAGGGAGGAAGTGGAAGAAGACCCTTTACCTCAGAAAGCAGTCCAGCAGAGTGCTGCCAAAAGTGGAGGATCCGCAGCCAGTGGGTTGGTGAAGAGGAGGTGCTGCCAACACCAAAGATACTCTCCCTCTCCTCCCCGTACAGGAGCCAGAAGGAGCACTGGGATGACCAAAGTTGGGAACAAAGGCAGAGCAAGGAAGAGCAGCTGTCCATCAACCTCAATGAATTAAGCTATGTCGCAAGGGCAACAGGAGAGTTCAGAAAGAAGCAGAGGGGCCATCAGCCTGGCATCTGGGTTCCCTAAGAGAAGCAGATCACCCAGGCAAAGAAGCAGCAGAGCCAGATCCCCAGCAATTCCATCTAGACAGGAAAAGGTCTGCAGCATAACAGTCGTCTGTACCCAGACTACTCAGCAGAGCCCATAGCAAGAACCTACCAATCGTGAATACTCACAATTAAATGTATTATGTAACATGACTGATTCATTGTCTAAGCTAGTTAATGACCTTAGTCTAATGCTGATGCTAGTGAGAGGTCTTAGGATACCAGAAACCACAGACTGCAGACTATTCCTGAGACTTCTCTAAAGGAGTCAATGCCATGTAAATTATTGCTATTGGATTTTTAGTCTGGAAGAGAAAATCAGGAGTGGCGATGTTATTGATTTACTCTCCTTGCCTCTGTTGGCTAAAGAATTTATTTTTAGAGGTGATTAAAAAAAAGATGGCAAAGTGGATGAGGATAGGCCTAGGCCTGTAGCCAGGAGTTCGCAGCGAATCGAATTTTAGTGCAAAAATCAAATATAAATACTGGTTGCAGGCCTTCTGCATTTATTCTTGCATAATGTGTAAAAAAGGTTCCTGAAAAAAGTTTGGGTATTTTTCAATACATTGACATCATATTGGAAACATATTATTATTATAATTATACAGTATTTATATAGCGCCAAAAAGTTTGCTCAGCGCTGTACATTATAGTGGGAGACAGTACATGAGACAATACAGTAACAATACAATACATTAGGGGTTTGAGGGTCCTTGGAGCTTACAGTCTAGAAGGGAGGGGATAGTGGTACAGGAGGAAATGGCTGTGGGGGATGGAGTGGTAGGAGGAGTGGAGGAGATCGGCTTTTAGATGAGGGCGGGGTAGGTTTCCCTGAAGAGATGGGTTTTCAGGGTGCGCCTAAAGGTGAGGAGGGTAGGTGACAGTCGGATGGATTGGGGTACTGAGTTCCAGAGGATGAGGGAAGACCTGGAGAAGTCCTGGGGTCGGGCGTGGGAGGTGGAGACAAGGGAGCTAGAAAGTAGGAGGTCTTGTGAGGAGCGAAGAGTACGTGTTGGGTGGTATTTGGATATCAGGTCGGTAAGGTAGTTTGGGGCAGTATTATGAATAGCTTTGTACGTCAATGTTAGTAGAATGGCAGAGGGGGGGTGGCGGATACGGAGCGGTTGGTAAGGTGGATGAGTCTAGCTGCTGAGTTCAGGATAGACTGAAGCAGGGATAGTCTGTGGTGAGGTAAGCCGGTGAGGAGGGAGTTGCAATAGTCGAGTCGTGAGATAATAAGGGAGTGAATGAGTTGTTTAGTAGTGTCTGGGGTTAGGAACGAACGTATTTTGGAGATGTTGCGGAGGTGGAGTCTGCATGAATTTGCCAGCGATTGGACATGGGGCTGGAAGGATAGATTGGAGTCTAGAGTGACACCTAGAACTTTGGCTTGCGGGGTGGGACTGATGGTGGCGTTATTGGTCGCGATGGATAAGTTGGGGGGGAGCGTGGGCTCGGGGGAAAACTAGGAGCTCGGTTTTGGAAAGGTTTAATTTGAGGAAGTGGAGGGACATCCAGTCTGATATGTAGTTCAGTAGGCAGGTGATACGGGCGGAAACTGAAGGGGTTAGGTGAGGGGTAGAGAGTTAGATTTGCATGTCATCGGCGTAGAGGCGGTAGTTGAAGCCGTGGGAGTGTATCAGTTGGCCAAGGGAGGAGCTGTAGATGGAGAAGAGAAGGGGCCAGAGGACAGAGCCTTGGGGGACCCCAACAGAGAGGATAGTTAGATAGTTTTTTTAAGGAGGAGAGGGTGGTCAACTGTGTCGAAGGCCGCGGAGAGGTCGAGGAGTAGGGGGACTGAGTAGTGGCCATTAGCTTTGGCGGTTAGCAGGTCATTGGTGAGTTTGAGATGGGCAGTTTCGGTGGAGTGTAGGGGACGGAAGCCAGACTGTAGGGGATCAAGGAGGTTGTTGTCATTGAGGTGGGAGCTTAGGCGATTATAGACTAAGCGCTCGAGGAGTTTGGATGTAAATGGCAGCAGGGAGATGGGTCTAAGGTTGTTCAGGTCGGTGGGGTCCAGGGAGGGTTTTTTGAGTATGGGGGGGTGATGTGCGCGTGCTTTAGGGGGGAGGGGAATGCGCCAGTAGAGAGGGAGAGATTGAAGATGTGGGTGAGGGAGCGTAGGATGGAGGAGGAGGGTGACCGTAGGATTTGTGTGGGGACAGGGTCAAGGGGGCAGGTGGTGAGGCGGGCTTCGGTGAAGACCTTAGTGACCTCTTCAGTGGTAGCAAGGTCCTGTACAGCGATCTGTGTTCCACAGATCGCATCGCTGCAGGGATCACTTCAAAGGCAATAGATGCGGGGGGGACTTTTAGAAACATCCCCCCACATCGGCAGCACTCCCTTTCAGCCGTTTATTGGCAAGCGCCGGACAAGAAGAGATTAAAGGATGGAGATCCTTGGCTTTACAGAAATTATGGAATACACTTGTCCGATATTGGCCTGAATATTTTTATTTGTGATCTGCAAATGTGTATTGAACTAGCCATGGTCCAGGGGAGTAATGCCAGTTGGGTCTTGTGACCCACCTGGCTTTTTGGGGACAGTTGATGTTTAAATTTCCTGCTATTTGTGTAAATGGCTCGGTTGTAGTGACTGGGACTGTTTTGGTTTTTGGTTAATTTATTTATTTACTATATGGTGATGTGATTTTAAAGTTTTGAAAAAAAAAATGACCAATTTTATTTCATACTTTTCATTTGGTGTTTTTATTATTCCTGCGTGCTGATTATGATCCCATGCACAATTCTAAGTGTGCATCCCTTTGTATAGTCTATATAGTCTATTCACAACTGTGAAATTTCTTAGGAACATTGAGCATATTAGGAATAAAATAAAGGAATTACAGATAAAAATATAAATATCATGGGCAGAAAGGGATCAGTGATATAACTATGCAAAGAAACCCACTGAGGCAGCAAAAAGAATAGACAGGGAAGAGGAAAACAACTGTCCAGAGACTTAAGAGGTCAAGTGGATTGGAATGGAAGTCATGAACCAGTGCAGACCATCAGTGCAGAAATTCAGAGAGCATGACTGTCAGTGCAGATGAGATGGTACTGGAGTATAGATTTAGAATCCTTACAAAGAGTATACATAAAACAGCATGTGGATTAACTCTTTGATTTTAGAATTTGAAATGGCTTAGTCATCATTAGGATCCCTGATTATGGGAATAGGTTTGCCTGCAGGATAAATTTTAATCTGAAGTCCTTATCAATGATATCTGACAATATAGATAAGATCAGGCAGAGTACCAGATGTTAAGTAGAAACATAAAAAGGTTCCTCCAGAGGCCAGAACAGGAAGCAAACAGTTCAAGAACCAGGGGCATAGGGGTACACGAAGCAGGTTCAGATAAAGACAGGTATAGAAGATGAACACCAACACAGGATGGGTCATGAACAAGACAAGATCTAAAAGAATAGTCTTAACACAAATGGGCTGGAAGGTTAGGTTAGTACACATTACACTTAAATCAAACATTGATGGCTCTTGTTCTTCTTTCCCTTTATCCCTTATTTTTTTTTTCATTCTTCTTCTTCTCTTCATTCTTCATTTTCATTACTCTTCCTTCTTCTTTCAGCCCTTGCCCTCACACAGGTATAACAAAACACTTGGAATATTTAAGAAACCAAAAAGAAACAAATAAAGTCTTAGATTGTAAGCTCCAAGGAGCAGGGCCCTCCTAACCCTCTTGTATTGAAGTGTACTGTTGCTGTATTGTCTCCCGTTATTGTAAATCGCTGAGCAAACTGTTGGCACTATATAAATCCTGTATAATAATAATAAAAGTTGATTACTAGGGTTTATTCATACTTTACATTACCTTTCAAAGTGTAGATGCACAAGGTAGGGGTTAATAAAAGCTATGAATTTTATGAAGGGAAAGACACCTTTTCCT